GGTTCTCTCTTTTAAACTCAATTATCTCTTCTTCTTATGTCTAAATATCGATATTTTATTATAAATGGCTAAGGGCTTGATGTCAGGAGCTTCCGGTGACCAAATATCCTTTTTGCACAAATTTTAGTTTCGAGGTTTTGCAGAGCCACGATACGCGCTTTTGTACTTTAAACGACGGCGTTACGCAATACGTTAGTGTTTGGCCAAGCTTCTCCTTCGATATGGGACGTGCGCCTTGATTTTGTGACAAAGACTCCGAACGACAATTGTACAGAATACACTCGGAGGTTAACTATTACCGACAGAGGGGCAAGCGCTATTAAAAAATTTTTTGTTTTTTACATTTTAATGTTGGTGGGAAACTAGGCTTGAATCAGTGTTGGCACTAATCGATTGATTTTTTAATCAATTAGTTANGATCTGCCGAAGCAGGTGACATTGCCACAAACACTGATGCTGCTGTAAATACTGCTGTTGCCATAAATGCCGACACTGCCGCTGCCGAAAATTCCGACACTGCTGCTACTGTAAATGCCGCCGCTGTTGTAAATGCTGACACTGCCGCTGCCGTAAATGCCGATACTGACGTCTGCAACGATTTTGATAATGCCGGCTCCAACGCCGTCGTTGGAAACTCTGATTCTGCTGCCGCCGAATGCATGCCGGGATCGTTAGGGAACATAGACCAGGAGGTTATGGCCCTTCGCAAGCGCCTGGAAATGTTGCAGTTGATGCAACAAATTGAACAACTCGAAAGCCGCAAAGCCGCTGGAGGTCACCGTCGTCTGGATTTTGGCGAAATCGAGCACGCATTGCCAAAATTTAGTGGAGACGATGTGGCCTACCCCGTTAACCATTTTGTACGAGACTTCGAAGAAATTATGGAGTCAACGGGCGCTAATAACAATTTTAAGCTTCTCGCACTCCGTCGCTGTTTGACTGGTACGGCTCGGGTGTTTTTGACCACCACAGCAGCACTCGGTTACGACGCGCTAAAAGGAGCACTTGTAAAAGAGTTTGACTTTGCTGTAACCAGGCAAGAAATTTACAAGATGTTGGCACAGCGGAAGTGGAAGAAGAGGGACGAGACACTACACCGCTATGTGTTAAATATGCAGGCAATTGCAAAGCGGGCAAACATCGCAGAGGCAGAGGTGATTGATTTTGTAATCGACGGAATAGGGAATGCGGTACCAAACGTGCATTTATTGCTAACAGCGCGGACTATTGAAGAATTAAAAGTGCTCATTAGCCGCTACCAGAATAAGTATTTTATGACTAACTCCCCGACAACTGTGGTTCAGAAGACACAGCAAGCTAACCAGCCACATAAGACCGAAGCAAAGGTACTGTGTTTTAATTGCTCCCAACACGGACACATAAAGCCGAACTGCCCTTTCCCACATAGACCAGATGGTTCGTGCTTCAAGTGCTGGAAGATGGGGCACGATCACCGCGCTTGTCCAAATCCAAGAAAAGTGTTGAAGCGTAAAGAC